TAATATATATATATTATATATACATAATAATATATACATATATATATTATAATATACATTATATATATGTATATATATATATATATATATAAATATTATTTTTTTATCTAAGGTCCAAAGATCTATCGGTTATACATTTCTTTGCACCATGGGCACAACAATGCGGTCAAATAAACGATGTTCTAGAAGAATTGGTATTATTGAAAGATTACGAAAATGCTAAATTTGCGATGTTAGAAGCTGAGGAATTACCAGAAATTTCTTTAAAAGCTGGAATTACCGCAATACCAACAGTTTTATTGTATAAAAATGAAGAAATAATAGATAGAATTGAAGGGGTTAATACAGGAATGTTAATTGATAGAGTAAAATATCATATAGGCAACGATGATCCGACTCCTTTAACAGAAGGAATAACTTTGGGAGTCAGATTAAGAAGGCTTACAAATTATGCACCTTGTATGGTCTTCATGAAAGGAAGTCGTGAACATCCACGCTGTGGTTTTTCAAGAACTATGATCGCCCTTCTTGATTCTCATAGAACAGAATATCAAACCTTTGATATATTAACTGATAATACGATCAGAGAAGGTTTAAAGAAGTTTAGCGACTGGCCAACTTATCCACAATTGTATATTAATGGCGAATTTATTGGTGGATTAGATATAGTCAAAGAAATGAGTAATTCGGGTTACTTAGACAGTATGTTACCTAAAAAAAGTACCTCCTAAAATAGGTAAATAAATCAACGAGATTAATCCTTTTGATACAACTATTATGTCATTTAAAAGTAATGCTATGTGAATTAAATAAAGAATGGAACATCACAATTTTTAACGCATTCTTTCAAATTATTTAGATTTTAATCATTGAAAACTAATGCAAAATATTTATGATGACATCAGTAGTATCGAAAGGATTTAATAACATTTATAAATGTATCGAGTTATAATAAGAAGATAATAATGATGTTTTTTGTTGCAGAAGTTAAAATAGGACCGCAGCTAACTAATTATATCCATATTTCCTAGAATTATCTAATACAACATTTTTATCTTCAACTGAAAACAATTTTTGCTTAAACGATATAATAACATTTACGAATTTAAATAGAAATTATTCTATAATGCGTCATTATTTGTTAATATTTTTTACCAAGAATGAATTAAAAATGTCATTTTTACGTTGTCATATAAAATGCAAACGTTTCAACTATGGATATAAAGCATGCGTTTTATGATTTCGTATCTTTTTTTTGTTATAACATATTGAATACGAAAATACAACAAAATTAATATTAATCTTTTTGTTTATTTATGAATTCAAATGCAGAATATATATTGCATTTTGTGCGATTTTATATATATGTTACCATGTGTTACCATAATTCATAAAATAATTATACCAATCAAGTAAAGAATGAAATTGAAATTAGATCTGCTTTAGGATCAGCTTGTATTTTGAAAACAAAAGTTTTGTTAGTCGCACTATACTATCGATTTTCAATGTATCATGTTGATATAATAATCAGACACTTTAACAGTAGTAACACATATATATTAAATAAAATATCATTTCCCAACTAGAATAACAAAAATTGAAGGTAACAAAACTGTTACAGCTTTTTAAAATATAATTGTTTTATTATTAAATTTTTTAAATAAAATTGTACCACTTTCGCGCGTAATATATTGGGTTGGCAACTAAGAGAGTGCTGTTACCGACCCCGTCGGTAAGGTAGATTTGTTTGTTACCGATCCTTGCATTATCTTGGAAACTAAATGGTTGCGGATTTTTTCAATTAAAATAACTGCAGTCACTTAATTGCCAACTCAATATATATATATACATACATACATACGTATATATTTATTTAATTGATTTCTTAACAAAATTAAATTATTGAACATAATTAATAATCAAGGATATTTCTTTGATTAATTATTTCCTATTTCTTTTGTTTTTCGTACTAAATTGTGCTCCTTTCTTAGCACCAGCGACAATACCTTGAAGCCTTGTTGCCATCTTTTTCTTTTTCCTAAAAATTCATATTTTTATTAACGCATCTGGAACATTATTTAATGAGTTCAACATTTGTTTTTTAAGATATTATTATTATATACCGTTTATTTAGAGCAGCTCTTGTTAATGGTACATAAGCATAAGGATCCGGTTTGCCCTTCTTTTTAATGTCACCTCCTGCTTTAAGTGCACGGTACTCAGAACCAGCTGTCTGTTCTGCCTTCCTTACTTTTAGCGGTCGATGAATACCTGAACCTCCAGCTATAATAAAGAGTTAAAATTATTCTCTTATTAGAAATTACTAATTAATTTTCTTTTTAATATCTTTCGACAAAGACCGTCTCTGTTAATTCCAATCGTCACTTAACTTTAATCATCGTACGAAAACTAGTATTTTTAATAAGATAAGATTATTGACACATTTATTTTTATAATATTTGTTAGTTTAACTTATTAAATTGTAATATTATTATTTCATTTATAGTTATATGGTTTATATATTTTAAATTTATTACGAATGTGTTAATAATACTTACCTCGATATTTCGATGAAGCAAAACTCTTTATACTTGTAGTATCAGAATTCGTACTACGTTTTCGTTTTCGACTTGCAGGATCCACAGATGCTAATGATTTTTTGTCCTCCTCGTCTTCTTCTATAAGAAAAAGAAAACCAGAACGATTAATACATATTTAATCCTTAAAAAATAAACAAGTACTATATATATATCATAAAATTACCATAATTATCATCGGAATCATTTTCAGATAACATATTTTTTCTTTTTCTATTTTCTGCATCATTATCCTCATCATCCTTTTGATTATCATCCTTAATAATAATTCGTCCATCTGGAGCAGTTTTAAATCCATAATCTTTTGGTTCTTTCGGTTTTTTTATAGGCACGTTCATGCTAACATTCCCAGGTTGTGTTGCTGCAAAGTACGTGAAATTGTTTGTTAATAATATAATCATTTTATACATTACAAATGTTACTAAAGTATGAAACGAAAAAAAAGAAACTAACTAGTTATATTCCTGGCAGTTGTAGGATCAATCAAATCAACAATATTTTCTTCGTTCTCTTTAATCCAAGCTTCTTTTCTTGATGTTCTCTTTTTATTGTTTTTCTTTGGTTCTTCATCCTCGCTATCACCATATTCTTCTTCACTCTCCGCCAAGAGATCTTCCATGCTAATAAAAAAGAAAAGAAATTAGTACATAGATATTTTTACGTAATTGTTTTTTTTACGAATATCTAAGAGGCGCTACCTTTTTGGTCTTCTTTTAGCACTAAATTCATTGTCTTCGTCTTTATCACTTTGTTTCATTTTTTTCAATTCCTTACTCTTCTTCTTAAGTTGTTCTACTTTATTAATATTTTTTAATCTCTTATGAAGAATAACATCTGACACTGGGACCATTTGGGAAATTACTTTAATGCTAAATTTCCTTATCAATTTGGTAAAGATATCTCGAACTTTTTGTCTAAAGTATCTTTTACAATTATCATTCATATCGGTCAAAGCTGCCATCTTGAAAAAATTTCAATTTTACAAATATATTATTATAGTATATCATTAAAGATTATTATTATTACAAACAAATTTCACTTACTATTTTTTGTAATTGTTGTGCAATTAAATTAGTTGGCGTTATACTAATAAATACTTTAATATATGATAATGCTGATTCTGCTATTTCTCTTGTAGGACTAATTGCAAGCGAACATGCGTGTCCTATTATTTCTTCTGAAGTTTCTTGATGAATGGAATCTATTTAAAAAAATATATATATATTTTATATATTATTATAGTGACGTGTGTGTATAATATCAAATATAGAGATAGATAATCGTAGAAAATAATAATGAATTTTGTAATTACCGCTATAATGATACACGATAGAAGCTAATGCAAGTAAAGTACAACTGCAGTATTTTGGTTCGCCAGCTAAACCTACTACTAACATTTGTATATATTCTTCAAGATATGAACTTTTTTTTAAAAATACATCTGCAATAGCATGTATCAATTGATATGCTGAAGTACGACATCTCTGATTAATATCCTTCACGCATAATATTGCTTCTGGAATGATAGCTTGCAAAAATTTCGATTTCTCAAGTTTTGGATGAACTTTTATAAGATGTACCAAACATCTTATACGAGCCTTTTAAACAAAAAAATACACATGCACATACAAAATTAAATAAAACATCTATTATAATAATTTAAGTTAAAATATAATAATATACATACTCCTTTACTCGTTTGAATTAATTTAGTTGCAGAACTAGTCATTAGATTTTGAATTTCGCGTCTATGTTCTTGTAAGAAATCTTTACATATTTCTTTTTCACTGCCACATAATCCCTCCAAAAATCTGCAAATATTTTTTTATTTAATTTCACATATTTGGCATATATATATAAACGTATGTAACAAATTAATGAAATTACTTGTATGCTTTTTTCTGTTCCTTCCCTTTAGTTTTAGATTGGATATATGGTACACACATGTCATAGAATTGCTTAATTCTAGCAACATCAGTAAATTCAATTAATAATCTTATCAAATCATATATACTTTCTTTTGTAAAATCATCTACTTCAGTGTCTTTCAATTTAGTTAATGCTTTATCAAACAATTCACATATCAACTCTTGTTGCGTTATTTTCAAATATATCTGTAAATGGTAACCGATATATAAATATTAAATTTAATTATTATACAGACAAATGTTCATTTTTCATTTGATTTTAATGTTACTTTAATTGTCTCAAATGCAGCTAAACGATGTCCCTCTTCATCTGTTCCCTTTGGTTTAGTCGTGTACAAAGCAAACAAAACTGGTAGATAATTTTTAGCAAAACGAGAAAGCTCAGATATATCTTCGGTATTATTATTTTCCGTTGCCCTTACGATCAACTTTCTTAAAGCAGACATTGCTGATAATCTTATATCTTTAATTCCATTAATAATTGATCCCAACAATTTAGCAATATTCTATAAATATATAAATGAAATAAAAATATTATAATATTTTCCAATATACACACATTTAATGAAATATTTAATATGCATACCTTGAAATTTTCTTTAACGTCATCAGCATCATTGCACAAACTTGGCAATATTGCCCATATTTGCGTTACAAGCAATTCGTAAGTTTTACCACCTACCGGTTCTTTCGATTTGGCACTAAAATAAAAATCATTAAATACAAATTGATATTTAAAGTATCGTGTGATTATTTATACTTACTTGCAGATCACTGCTAATGGTAATAATACTTCCGTAAAGAAGGAAAGTGATCCACAAGTTATGGAGTCTTTCAATAATGGTAATAGCCAACTTCTTTCTAAGTTTAAAGCACCTTCTGTTGTCTACAAAGAATAGAAGTTTTATGCATATATTTTTAAATAGAATTTGATTAAATCTATTATAACATACTTGGAGAGGAAGAATCTCTAAAACTACACGAGGACCTAGTGTTTTTATAGCTGCTCCAATTGCATTTTCAGCTGCTGAGGAATGCGTAAAATTGTATGAATCGCATAACTTTCCTAATGTTTTTAATATATCTAAAAGATGTAGATTTTTTGTTTTTCCAGTTATCTGTAAGATAAATAGTTTATATAAAATAGGAGTAAATTAAAATCCATGTTGTTATTTTATTTAGATTATTATTTTCTGTTTTTTTTTTTAAATAAAAGATATAATTACCTGAAATAGCAATTCAATTGAATGAAGAATACTATCAAATGGTATACTCGTATCAAGATACTGATTCTTTACTGATCCATGCATCATACATATTATTTGATCCAATATTGTTTTGTATCTATAAACAGAAAAATTGATTTGCATTAAACTATATATATATATCATTTTTTTCGATAAATTGAATTACATTATAAAACATACTTTTTAGCATTTTCTTCATCTTTACATAATGGAGTAATACAATCCTGTATAAGTACTTTAATAGTATGAAAAGTACCCGATATGACTTCTTGTTTATCAGAGAGCCACAATTCAATACATTTTCCGAATATTCGAGGAATAATAGCAGCGCACATATCCGGAGATTTTCTACAATTATTATAATACACGTATATTTAAATTTCGTATTCTGTATTATTAGAATTGATAATAAATATTTCTTATAGCTAGTTTCTGCTTACTCAATAAGATTGCAATATGCTTCTTTCATAACAGTTAACCAAGCAAGAGTTGGTTGTGCATCAGTTGCAGGAGGTTGATAATCATAAAGCGCAGTTATAATTTGTGCATTTCTTTGCGATGGTAATATTGTTTCCGATGGTCTAGACACGAACAATCCATGCAAAGCTTGTAAACAGCATGACGTTGTCAAAGCATTGTTTAATCCCATAATACGTAAAAGTTCTTCACAAATAGTCTGTATCAAATAAAATTCATGATATTAAAATGTATGTAAATGTATATTAAGAATAATGTTAGATGTACCTTTACATATGACTTTGGTAATACATGTATAATATCTTTAAGTAATACGAGAATGTGAAGAACACTGGTTATTCCACCAGGTTCACAAGCTGCATTCAATTGATTTATACAATGTTTAGCAATATGTGGTGCAGCTGGATGATATCCAGGAGAATCTTCGCGAGTCATTATGTCACTTGCTGTATCACATTAAAAATAGATAATTTTGTTATTGATAATAATTTATATCAGAATAATTGTATAATACCTTTAAGTAGAGCACATATTCCATATTGAGCTGCTTTCCTTATTTTAGGTTTACTATGAACCGTAAATGTCAGAACAGCATCTAAAATCTGTATCGTTGAAGAATTTGACCAAACTGCAGCTTCTTGAAATCGTAACAATAGTGAAATACAACTGAGACACTAAAAGAATATAATAATATTTATAATAAATTATAAGAAGATTTAACAAGCATTAAAAATCATTAATTGTAAACTTACGTGTCTTATTATAAGAAAATGTTCCTCTTCTATATACTTTGTTAATATTTGAAGAAATATTTGACTAACTGCACTAAATTGTGCATTGAGAACATTAATAGGTATACTTCTAAATTCCATTTCTAATAATGATAGAGTAGCAGCAACAGATATATCGGTATCAACTGCTTCCAGGGTACTCATCTAAAGAGAACATCTTTTATCATATTCCATTTAAAATTAGAATCAAAAATTTGTCATATTTACCAATGCCCCAAAGTATTCAGTCGTAGTTCCAGTTCCACCATTTTGCTTAATAACTTCTGTAATTGCTGATATAACAGCTAACATTTCCTTTTGGATTAACGATTTAGGTTGAAAGCGTTCTAAAAATCTATAAAATATTACATATTGAATATGCATTCATAAGTTTAAAAGAAAAAAGATTAAATAAAGGAATGTTAGCAAATGTTGCTTATTATAATTACCCTTTGAAAGATATATGCGTACAATTACTGTAAGTACTGGCAAATGATTTTACAGTATCAATTGTTCCATCTATAAAACTTTCTGATTTATCATCATCATCACCATCAATATCTACATTTTTTAATCGAGGTACAATACTTTGCATAGCATCATGTTTCTGCAAGTCTGCTGTTGTTATACCAGGTGTTCCTAATATATTAAATAGATTGTTTACATGAAATGAAAGATAATAAGGTTTATATAAAATACATAAATTGATTAATCGTAAACCTTCTTTATGGATAATATAATTAATATAAAATTATATTAAATAAGTACGTACCACCAAAATCTTTAAAAAACATCCATGTAGCTTTTTCACGATGTTTTGTTGTTTCCGGATTAGAATTGGAACTTTGACCCTTTGGCCAACGTTTTGCTTTTTTTCGACTACCTAATCGTACTATTTTACCCATTATTATTGAAAATAAATTCTTTTAACTACTTTTATAATATTAATATCAATAAGAAACAGTTAAATTTTTCTACATCAACTTTGTGCATAACCATGCAAGCACATGGGATGTATGCATCGAATATATCATTTCAAGAAAGTCGAGTATGTATAGTTGAGAAAACATAGTTATGTTATTAATTTCTATTTAAGAAATATAGATAGCGCTTGTTGATCACAAAAACATAAGTTTTATTCCAATTTGTTCAACCAATAGGATCAATCAAATAAAATTACCAACATATATATTGGTAAGGAAGAAATTCACAATACTATTAAAAGATAAAGTAGAACACGACATTGAGACATTACCATGTCGGTAAAGAAGACATTCACAGTACCATATGAGATAATTTGAAACAGGTAATTGAGATATTGACAAAATTTCAAATTATTTTATTTTTTTATTAAATTAATACATCATATAAAGAAACAATGATTTCATAATGAAGATAAATTTTCTGTACAGTATCGTTTTACCTTCATACATAGTACAAATGGAAATTGATAAACCAAAAAAAAAAAACGAAAAAAAAAATATATATATATAAGAAATGATTTTTAAAACATCTTTTAAAAGATCATCGGTCTTTAACAAAAACGTATAATACATTCGTAATATTTACATATTATTTACAATTAAAGTAATCCCATTTTCATTAGAATAACTCATGGGATAATATTTACATCAGTTTTAAAATTCCGAAGAACATTCTGTGTCAGAGGTTGTGCAGTTGGTATAGTTCTATTAGGTTTGCTAGGAGCTGCAAGTAATTTACTCCAAGCTCTGCAAGTTTTACCAGACCAGACCCACATGCCTGAGGTGACGCCAATGACCAAAGACAAAAATGGTTTTAAAAGGGCCACTTCGAGTCCTGCGGCTCTGTAAACGGGGCCAGGTGCACAATTTTCGGCTGATCGACAATCGAGAGCAGCGAGAAGTGCGAGCATTCGCCAGCGTGGTTTCGTTGATGATTCTTGTAAGATACACGTCAAGTTACCAAGTGCTGGCAAGACGTAAAGTAACGCAAAGATTCCAAGACGAGTCATTAGTCTTTCCAATTTTGTTGCACTACGACCAGCCGAACGAATGGCACGTCTTACGCGAATCAATGCACCACCTGCCACGGCTGCTAAAATGCAACCGAGAAACATCAATATTGCATGTGGTAAAACTTCATGCCATAAAGCGGATTCATCAGCTATTTGGCAGAGACCGGTAAGCTCGTCTGCAACTATCTGACGAGAAAGTAAACTACCTGTGAATAAAGAATAATGAAATATTTATTAGAACAATAGAGTTTCTCAGAAACTGACATTATTTTAATGAATAATCCAAAAATATTACCTCCTGTGATTAAAAGTGGTAATCCCCAAGCAACTGCATGCAAATACGAAGCAATATTGTGCAAAGCTTCGCTGCTCCACTCGTTTCTAGCACTTAAGAACCAACAAACGCACAATATTGTCCACCAAGTGCTACTAGCTAAACTCAGATAATGTTTGATGATCCACCAACACGTACAAGGAATACTTTTTAATCCATCATGAACTGGCACGTAACTCGGTCCATCGATTTGACTAACACAACTGAGAGTTTCAGTACCAATCGCACCTCTGATGATATAATTTACCGATAATAGATTGTAACAAAGTGCAAGAAATACAATAGGTCTTTCTGGATAACGGAATCTTGATGGTTCTACCCAGAATGTTAATAGTGTGAAAAGGGTTGACAAAAAACAAAGCCATGCCCATCCTATTATCCATCGTTCAGTAAATTTTTTATCCTCGGCACGATAATAAGCATCGGTACCGCAACGTGGCACGCAAGAAATCTAAAAATTAACAAAGATTATTTTGTTTACATACTTCTCTATTCGCGAAATAAAATTTTGTTCAATGATTCACTTGAAACATTCTAACTAACCGTTTGTACATCCGGTGTTTCTACGAAATGAGGTGGACATTGATGATGATTCTGCAATCCCGTAGACGTTTGTACAGGCTGAATTTGTTCTTGCGTTGGCCATTGCTGTTGAACAGGTGGAACAGGATCGGAAAGTGTTTCTTCGGGTGGTTGAACGCAAAGTGTATTACCTAGAAATTCGAAATAAGAAAAATAATGTATTAAAAGTATCAAATATTAAAAGAGATTATAGTAAGTAAAAAGTTAATATTATAATTACCACGATCCAAAAATCGATCGCAATCGAGCATATGTGGCCAAGGAAGTGTGAGACTGGTCAATGCAGGTTCGCATTCTCTTCTAACAGAAAGACAGAGAGATTTGCAAGCTGGTATCTGCATGGCTACATGTTCGGAACATACTGGTGCAAATACTGCGCAAAGAAATAGCCTCAAGTGTTTCGAACAGTTGTAATGTACCAGTGGCATCAGAGTAGCCAGCTAGAAAACAATCAACAAAAAATAGAAAATAATTAAATTATTCATCTTTAAATTAATTAAATTAATTAAACATTTGCAAAAATTATCAGCACACTCTCGAATAGATTTAGAATAAACTTATAGGTCATTTTGTAAAAGATATTAAATATAACACCATAGTAGATAATTTCCTAAAAAATTCCATTTTATATTACACCCAAAGTTCATTATTTTTTAAGATAATTTTATTTAGTAAATTATACTAAACAACCATTGTATGTTATCTGTGGTGCTGTATTAAGTTATCAATAATGTTACAACGAAACCGTGTTGTATATTAGATATATATAATAAAAACAAGAAATCGAAATATTTTTTAGAACTCTTAACGATTAAATTAGATTTTTAGCAAAGAAAAAGAAGAAGAAAAAGAAAAGGATCGAAAGGTTCTCTTTGAAAGCGATCGAGCTTTGAGAGAATCAGGGGGTCGGGATGGTGATGGTGGTGGTGATGGTGGTGTACAGGTAAAGTTAGGAGGAATAGGGAGTAGTATTTTTCTTCTCGACTCGGTGTAATGGAGCAGGGAGCAAGCAAGCAAGTAGGTAGAAGGGAAGAGGAGGAGGAGGAGGAGAAGGAGGAGGAGGGTCTCGAACTGATGGGGCCCTTTCTCGAAGGGAAGAGAAAACGAAACGTCCATCGAGACTAGAGGCGGGAAGAATGGGCGGGATAATTGCCCATGATGCCCACCGCTCGTTATATCTCATGGTACCGTCTTCTCTCCTCCGCCCCGTTAGGTGCATTACCCCCTTATTTTCGATCGTCCTAGTCCCCCTCTCCCTCCCCTCCTCCTCCTCCTCCTCCTGACTCTTCTTATTTCTTCTTTTTCTACTTTTTTTCTTCGCTCCTCTTATTCAACCTTCCCTTAGGGCATTTCCAAAACGCACCCCCTTTTTCTTTCATTATTTCCTTTTTCATAAATAATTCCTGTATCGGTTAAATAAATAATTGTAATAAAATATTCAAATTGATTAATCAATTAAGTGCATCGTTTGACACGCATATACATATATCGAATAAAATAATAATTCTAGTAACTAATTTGTTACGTATTATACAGATGATTGTTTACGTTAAGGGGTTACATGGGTTTACACCCGGGAAAAAATAGCATATTTTCAACAATTTTTTTTTCTATATAAAGAAATGGAATTCTTATTCAAACTTTTTATAGTATTTAAGATACATATTTAAAGAAGATTTTCTGAATTTTTGGCTGAAAAAATATTTTAAACTCAGCCATTGCGACGTCATTTCCGGTGACCCTACCGAAAAAAAGTGTTTTCGCGTTGACAGCAGAACTTATAAACGGTGGGGGTTTTTCTGTTAAAAAAAATAGAGTCTTTTAGTGAATACTTAAAACTAGAAACTGGACGAAGGAAAAAGAAAAAAAATTGAAATTTGGATTTTTGGCAAGGTTTTTAACAAGAACATTCAAATTTCGCTAGAATTTGCACCACATTTTGGTTTCTTAAAATTCGATTTTATGAACAAAAAACGATAATCCTTCGTCCAAGTCCTTGTCAATAGTATCACGAAGACGTGTAGCAAATTTCATGAAAATCGGTTAAATAGTTTTCGAGAAATCCTGACAACTGACTTTAGAAAAAGCGTTTTGCGAAAAACACATTTAAAGATTTGAGTGGTGGAGTGCAACTTCCCAAGGCTCTATCTTTAAAACTACTACTCCTATCGACTTCAAAATTAAATACAATATTCTAGATGAGTGGAGAAATTTAAAGAAAAAAAAATAATTTTTTTTGAAAGTCCCAAACCCATGTAATTCCTTAAAGGAAAATTAATGAGGTTGACCGCGTTGTGTGTTTGTTCCTGTTGCACATTTTTGATTATAATTAATTATAAAATAAATCAATATTAAAAATTGTCAAATCAAATGTGTAATGTATAAGAAAAAATTTGAACGAGCAAGTAATCAATCACATATCGAATAAAATAATAATTATAGTAACTAACTTGTTATATACTATAGATGGTTAGTTTTCGTTAAAGGAAAGTAAAGAAGGTTGACCGCGCTAGTTGTTGTTCCCGTTGCACCCTTCGAGTATAATGGGTGTAAAAAACGATAGAAAGAGAAAAAGAAAGAGAGAGAGAAGGACAGGATTGGAAGATGGATTGCATCGGTCTCGGTGACGGATGCTCGTTCCTGTCACGGTCTAACTCTCTCTCTCTCTCTCTCTCTCTCTTTCATTATTTTTTTTCGATTCGACGATGACAATGACGAAGAGGAAGAGGAGAGAACGAAGATAAAAAGTTCTTCCTCGTCTGGAACAACGATACCTAGACTATGTGTTCTTCTTCTCCTTCTTTATTTCAAGAAGAAGAAGAAGAAGAAGAAGAGAAATCAGCAAAGAAAGAAAGAAATGAAGGAAGGAAGGAAGGAAGGAAGACCGGTTTCCGCATGGTGTGCAGTGAATTCTTCCCTTCCTTCGTTATTTCGCGTTTTTCTCCGAGAATGGCCCGCCGAAGAGAAGAACACACCGTAGGGAATAAGAAAGAAGGGAATATCCACCTTGAAGGGAGAGAAAGGGGGTCCCTGCTTGCTTGCTTGCTTGCTTGCTTGCTTGCTTGCCTGCCTGTTTGCTTCAACGTCGATGCTTCTGCTTCTGCTGCTTGCTGGAGGATAGCATTTTAAAAGTGTCTTGACAGACAACCGAGATGGCTCTTCGCAAACAAAAAGAAACAAAAAAGAATGAAAGAGACCTTCTCTCGGAGACAACGAAGGACTTTTGCGAGTTACGTAGCCAGTATATTAGTAGTGGTAAGATGTAGTCCGCTTCTTCTTCTTCTTCTTCTTCTACTCCTTTTCATCATCATCCTTCTCTCTTTCTCTCTTTTATTTTCTTGCTTCTTCTTGCTTCGTACTTGCACGATTCGAGCAGCGGCTTCCTCTTTTCTTTCCCCCCCCCCCCACCCTTCACTCCTCCTCATTTTACCCTTTCGTTTCCCCTTCTCCTGAGAGAACTCCTTCAACAGCCTCGGGTCGTTCCTCTCGTTCGGATCGGTGTGTTCAGCTTTTATAGCCAAGTGTCTTGCCTTGCGTTGCATTGCATTGCATTGCATTGCATTGCATTGGCTTAACTTCGATATTTCTACCAAGTACGCAGGATATGTTGTTGTTCTACCCAAGTGTATTATCCTTTTTGGGTGTATTATTTTGTTAACTATGAAAATAGAAATAACCAGTTGTTTTTCTGGTTCGAAAATAAAATTTTTAGTAAGAAGGTATGTCATAGGGAATTTGGACATGAAAAAATAAAGAAGTAGAAGTTAATTTTAATAAATTAATTTCTTAAGTTTAATTCTTAATTTAATTTCTTAATTAACTTTAGGTTTAAGTTGAGTAAACTTTTATTAAAATTAAGTTCTACTTCTTTTTATTTTTGATGGTCAAATTCCCTATGATATCTTCTTATTAATAGAACTTAAACTTCGTACAATACGGTTTCGTTATAAACATGGTTTATAAAAATGTTAATAAGATGATTTTTTTGATAGGACAGATAAAGAATTGTCGTTTAGATTCTCATTAAATGTCAAAGATATCCAAGCAAGATCCACGTGCTTCTTCGTTGTCCTTTTATTAGTTTCTTTTTCTCTCACTCGCAGCGTGAGTGTGCCGGGGCGTCCCCGCGCAGCTGGAGACTTGAACGCAACGACAAGAGAGATCAATTGTTAATTCTTTCATATAATATATATATATATATATATATATATATATATTCATGCTAGTATTATTAAACATAATTTAAGTGAATTAATTTCATTAAAATTATATTGTTGATAATGAATTTTTAAATGGAAAATTATTAATTTAATTAAACAAACACAAAATAAGAATGAATCAAAAGTTCCCTATATTAATTGTCTTATAAAATGCATAAAAATGGATTGTTTTTTTCTGCAAAAATTTACTTTGAAAATATATTTAAAAATGTACGAACTTTTCGTTCACCCTAATACGTTATTTTATGTACGTGAGTGTTACTGAATCACACATATACATACACATATATATACTGGGTAATTTGTAACAACGATGCATTACTCTTTTGTCGTTGTAGTCCTTCGCAACCCAATAAAAAAAGATCGTCTTTAATTTATCCACGATGCGTCCCGTCGCGTTTCATCCACGCTTTTGTGATCATTCGTTCGTCCGTCCTCGAGACTGCTCTCAACGCGTTCATTAACCTTTCATTTGTGCAATTTTTTAATTCTATTGTTCAAGAAGAAAAGGGACAACGAGTACTCAACTTAAAGGGGGATGCTTGTTAAAACCTTTACTAGCTTATATTTACGATTGATCCATCATCCAGCAAAGAAATGATTTAAGGGGTTATATGGGTTTACACCGGGAAAAAATAGCATATGTTCAACAATTTTTTTTTCTATATAAAAAATTGAATTCTTATTCAAACTTTTTATAGTATTTAAGATACATATTTAAAGAAGATTTTCTGAAATTTTCGTTGAAAAATATTTTAAACTCAGCCATTGCGACGTCATTTCCGGTGACCCCACCGAAAAAAAGTGTTTTCGCGTTGACAGCAGAACTTATAAACGGTGGGGGTTTTTCTGTTGAAAAAATAGGGTCTTTTAGTGAATACTTCAAACTAGAAACTGGACGAAGGAAAAAGAAAAAAAATTGAAATTTGGATTTTTGGCAACGTTTTTAGCAAGAACATTCAAATTTCGCTACAGTTTGCACCATATTTTGGTTTCTTAAAATTCGATTTTATGAAAAAAAACGATAATCCTTCGTCCAAGTCCTTGTCAATGGTATCACGAAGACGTGTAGCAAATTTCATGAAAATCAGTTAAATAGTTATCGAAAAATCTTAGCAACTAACTTTAGAAAAAGCGTTTTGAGAAAAACGCGTTTAAAGATTTGAGTGGTGGAGTGCAACTTCCCAAGGCTCTATCTTTAAAACTACTACTCCTATCGACTTCAAAATTCAATACAATATTCTAGATGAGTTGTAGAATTGAAAAAAAAAAAAAAAATAAAAAAAAATAAATTTTTTTGAAAGTCCCAAACCCATGTAACCCCTTAAATTAAATTGTAATAAATTTAAAAATCAATTATTTTATTGTTTTTTTTGAAAATGTTCTATTAAATCGAGATTAGCTAGAACATCATCCCTCCCCTTCCGTTCTAGATTCAATAAAATTCAACAACAACAAAATTAACACGATAAAAAACATTAGTTTATTATTTAGCAAAAAAAAAAAGAGAGAGAAAGAGAGAGAGAGAGAGATAATTAAAGCGAGCTCCGAAAATTAATTATTAACGCGATATCGAAGTAAAGTTTTCGAGGTTAGAAAAAAAAAAAACACATGGGTTCTTCTCGGTGTGGTGAGCTATCTCGATCGGCGATCATCAAAGGGGGCACCCCCTTCCATATTCTCAGCGATATCCGATCGTCTTAATGCGCTTTTCATGTCTGACATCGAACTCGCGAGATACGCGGCTGCTAACGCGAATAAACTTTTATATCATTGCACTTCCCCTATCTTTTGTTTTTCTTTTTATTTGTTTTTTTTTTTTTCAATCGTTAGTCCGGGGTTTGATAAACTAGAAGAAAATAATTGAACCCTTTGAGCGAAAAAATTGTAGAAAATAAAAAAAGAAGTTCCCCCACTTGCCACCTTTCCAATATAATGTATAATAATAATAATTCCAAACGATTCGTGTAATTTAACGAGCGCACGTCTACGCAGTCAAACTTTGCCAGGGTTGCGTCAGTATTTTTGAAGAATATTATTATTTTAAAGAACTTGATTGAATTCACGAATAAATTAACGTAAAACAAAAAAAAAGCAACAAAAATTGTAATATTTTTCAATATAAATTATTACAATTTACATGGTACACGAACCGTAGTTTAATCAAAAATTAAAAACTAGTGTGTGGTACTGGCTAAAAACCTTCGGCGTTAGCATCACACACATGTTGTGTGACCGATCGTTAAAGTGTTAAGAACAAAATCTAATTGCATTTGAGTGAATAATTTTTGATTCGTATTTTTCAATGAGTTTAACTCTACTGTCCTAGAAAACGATGGGGAAGGGGGTAGAGGAGAATTCGAGTTTTAATTGTCAAATTTATAATTGGAGACTCCGCGAAAGTTTGTGTGTGTTACTTATCAATATTCTTGTCCAGAAATATATTATTAATATAAGTCTAAAAAGTGAATTTTAGACGGTTGTTAACATTAGAACTACGAACCGGTCAAAATGACCGGTTGCATCATTTATTTATACCATTTCCTCTAATATTCCTATTTAATTCTTGATGATAAAGTTTCATAGGGAACTTGGACATGAAAAGAAGTAGAACTTAATTTAATTAAGTTGGACGTTTCGTCCCTTTATTGGGACACTTCTTCAGCAACTTAAATAACATATTTAATATTTTACGATGATGTCATGATTTTTATTAAATTTGTTTATAGAATAATATTATAGATTATTTATTATCGTAAAATATTAAATAGGAATATTAGTGGAAATGGTATAAATAAATGATGCAATTGATCATTTTGACCGGTTCGTAGTTCTAGTGTTAAATCTTATGAACAATTTATTTTGAACTAGTTGTACGTTTCTTCGTCCCTTACTGGAGAGACTTCATCAGCAACTTCTGTTACTTTATTTTTTATTTTTAAATATTAAAAGGATACCGAGATGAACGTGAATGCACGAAGGAATTCGATATTATATCTCTCAGCGAATGAAAGAAGATGGGAATGGGGGAATGATGGTTGTCGAGGAATAGGATGGGGTGGGTGGTGGTGGTGGTGGTGGGGTTAGTGGAGGTGGGGGACGAGTTGGCATAAAACGATGTCCATGAATATAGTTGGTGGTAACGGCGTTTATCGCGAAGCCGACTGGCTTATCGTGAAAATGATTTACAGAGACGCTAAGACGCGACGCGAGTAAAAGGCTGAAGTAGTCGGCTTCCCTTTGATCTTATCGACAGGACTATAAAAGCCACCTGCGTCGTAGAAACACATACACACTTATATGGCTTTCCTACCTACCTCTCTCTCTCTCTCTCTTTCTCTTATACACACACACATATCAGGGTTTCAACGTGTTGCTATCTACAGCAGAGCAAAGCCCCCTAACTTCGTGCCATAGATTCGTTAATCTGACCGATTGCGACATCGTGCCAATCATTTTTATTTTTGTTGTTTTTTTTTTTTTTACAAATCTTTTATAAAGATATAGATAAATGTTAACGTATTATTATTATTTTAATAGCACGTTTTAATAAGCACGTTTACAGAGATCAAACGTCTCTCTTTAAGGGTTTGGTAATTGTTTGTTCAAGTATTATTGTGTTTTAAAAAATATAACGTATTTAATATAAAACAAATTTAATATATATATAT